TCAGCTCACACCGAACGGATTTCTTTCAACGATATGTCAAAAGATCACAAATCGTAACTAGTCGAAGACAGTACCCTTAAAAATTGAAAAAAATTCCCTGGTTCTCCGTAAATGGGGGAAATCTCCAAAAAAATTACAAATTTAAAAATCGCTATTTTTCGACATTTGTTCAATTTTTTTTACTACTATAACTTATTTAAAAATCAATATATTTTTTTTGAAATGATNTTAAAACTACTATAACTTATTTAAAAATCAATATAATTTTTTTGAAATGATACATGAGATAATTATCTAGCATTGTGTTATTTTTTATATAGTTGACCCTTTACCTGCTCACAGAAGTAAAATGACAACTTTTTCACAGAAAATTAACTTTTGAAAGTGTTCCTGAAATACTGACACTTTTAAAGCTTATGTAATATATTTAGATATGANCTGAAATACTGACACTTTTAAAGCTTATGTAATATATTTAGATATGAAAAAAAAATTTCAGACTTTAATTTGTCTTCATGGTGAAATGACTACTGTTTGTTTTTTTTGTTAAAATTTTCGATTTTGTATTTTATTTTATTATAATATACCTTACAAAAGTTTTTGAGATAAGAAAAAATTTTAAATCATTTTATTTTTATCTCATTTATATTCAATAACTTTAATAAATAATTAATATTAATAATATAAATAATATTATTTAATAAATAAAGGACCCCATCGCTGTAATTTCCCTCGTTTGAAGAAATTTCTTATTTATGTTAAAGTTTTTTTACTATGTGATTTTTTTTTTATGGCTTTCATTTATTTTCTTAGCTATCACTTGATCATTTTTTTTTAACGATACATCAAATAATCACATATATTACCTAGTTAAAATTATTACTCTTAAAAATTTTCACTTAATCAATGAAAAATTTGCTTGGCTCACATTCTTCATATACAGAGTATTTTTTTATCATAGCCCACTCAATTACTTGCAGAATAAATATAATTTAAACATTTTTTTTGGTTATCTTTAGTTACACATTATTCTTGAATTATTAACCATGTAATACTTTATAATTTCATCCCTTATGCCTGGTAAGAGTGTCAACTTTGTTTTTTGTAAATGGAACCACGTATTTTGAATTTAATAAAATGTTTGAGTTTTTAATTTAATAATTAATGACATTTGGATTTTTAGTATAACTTTATTTGTTTATTAGATATAAACACTTAAAGTTTAAAATTCTTTAGTTAATATAAATATATAATAGAGAAGGGTTTTAAAATACAGGTAGCTAATTGGTTTTTTATGACATCGATATTAGCAAGGACACAGCATTGTTATTATCAATGGTAGTAAGGCACATTGTTGTGAGTTTATAAATACACTAACTGACAATACAGAAAGTTTATCTATTGATAGTAATAATTGATAATAAACAATACGTAACTGTGACTGTTATGTCATAAAAATCCAATAAGCTACCTGTATTTGTAATCCCTTCTGTATTATAGATGTATATTAATTTAAAAATTTGAAAATTTAAACGCTTATATCTAATAAACTAATAATGTTATACTAAATATTCAAATGCCATTTACTATTGAATTAAAAACTCAAACATTTTATTAAATTCAAAATATGTCTTCCTATTTAAAAAAACAAAGTTGTCATCCTTACAAGGCATAAGGGATGAACAT